GATAAGATCCAAGATGTCGTACACGAGGAGTACCAGCAAGGACAACAGCAGCCGTATCACGGCGATTTGGATGATATATAGGAGGTCAAGGGACTCTGGAGCCTCAGCAGCAGACGCATGCGCGCTGGGGGGTTGGCCATGGCAGTCAATCGAAAATGTCGAAATTTGACATATTCGAACTGCATTGCGAAGGTGCCATATCCGGAAAAAGGTGAGAATCACTTTTTCTGTTTGCAACTACTGTCCAAACAACTAAAAAAATTTGTACGCTTTCAAAGAAGGCGATGGGTACGGAACATTGAACCGACACATAAAGAATTATCATCCGGCAAAATTGGGGAGTGACACGACACAAACACAACTTCCGAGTACGTAGCAGCGTTGCATCCGCCACGACTGGTGCACGTACGCTTTCTTTATTTAATTACTCGCACCATAATCATGGACGTCATTTAGCCAAATTTGTTTCTGATTAATCTCTTCCTTTGAGCTTTGCTGATAGTGATTTGTATGAAAATTTTGCTCAAATGGCTCTGAATCCGACTCCCTGGTGGGTTCCGCGTTCTACTCTTACTCGTGATATTCGAAAAATTGTGAGTGAAAAAGATTAATTTTGCAACAAACTTTTGAATATTTAAATCATGGATTATCCATTTGTACTTATATTTGGTCTAATCATTGGCAAAATAACTACTATCTAGGAATTACTTGTTATTGGATAGATGATAGTTGGACTTTACGAAAATGTTTAATAGGTTATGTTGGATTTCTTGAACAACACACTGCTTCTAATATAGCTCGTTTAATTTAAAAGGTCGTGGATAAATATATAATTGGTTAAATAAAGTGTTTTCCATTTCGTTTGATAATGCTAGTGCCAATATTGCATCTATACATGAGCTTACTAAAATTTGTACTCCCATTAGTGGAGGAAGGTTTTTTCATATTCCTTGTATATGTCATATCTTAAATCTTTGTATGCAAACTGGTTATCATGTCTTTAAAAACTCGGTCACGCCCATTAGGGACGCCGTTAATTATTTATATAAATATCCCCATGAAATGAAATAATGGTATAAAATGTGTAAAGTTTATGGGTTTAAACCTAAAAATTTCCAACCGGACGTTTCTAACTGGTGGAACTGAACATATAAAATGTTGAGTGACACGGCTGAGTGGATGGTGCAATTGTAGCATTTTTTAAAAGTCCTCAACGTAAGGTCTGTGACGTCCGAGTTACTTCGGATGATTGGGTGAACTGTAATGCACTTATTCAATTTTTAGAAACATTTGAAAATGCTACTAACATGCTTTATGGTGTTTACTATTCTACTGCTCAACTTGTGTTAACTCAAATGAAGGATGCAAACGGTTATGCTTACTAATCAAGAGGGTGCAGCAGCCGCCACCGACAACTCATCCGATTTTACGAGTACGACAAGTGGAATCGAGATCGCCAAAGATGACTACGACTATTGGAGCCAGCCACTCAAGGTACGTAAGTATAGTAAAAGAACTATGTGGACTTTGATTCCCAATATGAGGGATACGTAAGCAACTTAATTGACATTTATAAGTTAAAATATCAATTTTTAACCAAATAAATTCTTCAACTTAAATGATATTTCAACTTGTGAAATGTCAGTTAAGTATAACAATTCAGTGGATGCAGTTCAGAGATCAATAATTTAACATGGTCAGTTGTCTTTTCGAAAATGACTCATGAGCTTGAAAAGCATGTGCCCCATATTTTGGAGAATAGTCCCATTTCAGTTTGCTTTGTCGTACACGGCTCCATCATCGTTGTTTCGTTTCCACGTGCAATGTGATGGAAACAACTATTCTCTCAGGATCCTCACCACCAATTTTCTTTCTGACACATTTTGGAAGTTCACATCAAATCAAAGCAATAACATCAATTACGCCAATGATGTCACAATCACAGGCTCCATTATGTATCATACTTCCAACTCTCTTATACGCCTACAAAGAATTAAGTGTTTAAATGTTTAGTATCATGTCTAAAAACTATAACAATTAAGTGAATAGAGTTGAGGGGGCATGAATTTAACATGGTAAGATATTTTTTTAGACTATCATTTACATCTCACCCGCAGTTGTTGAAGTTGTTCATAACTGAAAACGAATAATTAGCATATGAAACGGATATAACAAATGTTTCACCATTTCCAAAAGAAATCACGAGCTCGAAAAGTAAGTGCCAATATTCGGGAGAATTGTTCCAAAATGACTTGCTCCGCCGAACACGGTCGTTCACCCCCGTTTTATTTTCGCGTGCAACGTGACAAGAACAATCATTCTGCTCTCAAGATTCTCGCCATCGGTTTTCGCTCCAACACATTATAGAATTTCACCATCAAATCAAAGGTGTAACATCCATTACACTAGTGATGCCACACTCATAGTCTCCATTATTTATCATGCTTCCAACTCTCCTTTACGTCTACAATAAAGCAATAAGAGAACGCTCACACAGACCGACATACAGATTCTTCAGTATTTGAAGTTTGCTAATGTTAGTCTCTATGTTCTTTCTTTAATGCTCTATTGTAGGCGTATGAAAGAGTTAGAAACATGATACATATCTTATTTTAAAATATTCTCCCTTTAGCATATCGGATGAAAATTTGAAATATGGAGACATGTCAAAGGAATTCGATTTATTCTCCTATAGTCCTATGTAGTAATTACGTGTATAATCGCGAGTTGCAAAAGTAAGATTATGACTATAATTCCATATATTCGTTGGTTGTTCGATCGAGAACAAAGGCATCTTATGAGAGAAAATTCATTCTTATCTGGAATTTAAGAACATGCATTAGATCACCACAAATTCCATTCTTTCCACCTCTTGTCCACCAAAAGTAGACAATATCTTCGTCTTCAGAATTGACCTATATATCTCTTTGCCCTGTCTTGTTTTTATTTATCAAATATTCGCTCAATAGTTTGAGTGGACATATGTTTTTGTAGTCTAGAAAATATTCTTTATTTCTAAATTAATGTGATTTTGGAGGGCTGATAATTTTAGTTGCACAATTAAACTAGTGCGTAACACGTGCGATGCACGTACTGTATTTATTTGGAAAATATTATAAAAGAGTTATAATATTAAAGAATTTGTCAAATCATCAAATGTTCGTAATGAAAATTTTATACATTATTAAAATTTTCTTGTATACAAATTATTAGTTCGATACTTGATAATCGCACAAAATAATATTTTCAACCAATTTTTAGTACTTACACGCAAAACAACAACATATATGATATATGATATTATACTAGACCCCTTTTAGTGGATAAAGCAGATACATATTGGAGGATAAGCCCACTAAGACATCTAAGCCCAACGATAGGGGTCAGGCCCCACATTGGGCCCAAAAAGTACACTCCCCCTATAAAATGGGGCCAAGGTACCTCATTCTCTCATTCTCTATTCATTTTTACTACACACTTTCTCTCTCTTGATTTGAGCACTGACTTAAGCATCGGAGGCCCGACGTCGAGGCCACCCCCGGCGTTGGGTTCTGCAGGTACGGAGGCCGTTCGAGTTGAAGGAGCCCAGATGAAATCTATTCACTTCATTGGCACCGTCTGTGTGACTCGTCAAAAAAGTCAAGCGGAGTTCCGACTGAAAAAATGGGAAAACCTCCTTCTTCTTCACCGGCCGCCGCCACCACCACCGGCCGCCACCTCCACCGCCGGCCGCTGGAAAACGTGCTCCGATCGGAAAATCGAATACACCATCGGATAGATCTCCTCGAGGTGAATCTACCCTTAAAGTTTCGTGCAAAAATTCATTCGGGAAGACCTTCAATTTCGTGGTCAAAGGTTCCAGATCTACAAGAATTTTGGTCAAAATCGGACACTCAAACGCATTTTCCCGACGATCCGGGAGGGCTATGGAAAATCTGAGGGTACCATCGGAATCCTCTCGACGAGGCGAATCTCCAGCTACCGACCTTCGCCGGAAAACTCTGTCGTCCGCCACCGGCCGCCAACAAAAGTTGTCCGATCTGGAAAATCTCTACGCCATTGTGAAGCTCTCCTCGTGCTCGTTCCACCCTTAAATTTTGAAGCGAAAATTTCGTCAGGAACGCCGCCGATTTAGCGGTCAAACTTTTCAGATCTAAGAGCAAAATGGTCAACATCCGGGTCTTGC